CGGATAGCACTCGATTTACTCCAGATATGGTGTGTGGCACGCACCGTTTTGAGCATTTGGCGAATGTTACATTCTGACTTGGGTATTGAGTCAGTCTTGTTGTTTTGTTTTGAGTCTGTCCTTTTGTTTTGAGTCAGTCTTTTCATACTGAGTCAGTTGAGGTCTGTCTTGTCGTATCGAGTCAGTCCTGTTGTATAGGAGTCGGGTGATCCCGGGGGCGTTACCTCGGACATCACTGTTTTGTTTCGTGTTTGTCTTTTTGCTTTCTTTGAGTCTGTTTCTACCGAGGAGCCAGTTGTGCCAACAGATCTCAATGAAACAGCAGTGATATTCACACTCTTGTATTTGCTTTGGCCGTGCGCCAGTTGTGCCAGAAAATTTGAATCGAACGGCAGTACTTTTCACCTACTTTTCTGTGCCTTGAATTCATTGCATTGACCTAAGTTTTTCAAAACTTTTTGAACACTACGGTGAAAACAAAGAGGAAGGAATTCCTCGGGATTTGAAAAAATTTTTTTGATCAAATGAAAGAAAAAGAGGCATGTTAAGCCTTTAATGATTGAGATCATGCTTGTTAATATGAGTACTGAGAAGGATCTTGGCTTAATCCAGATTGGTTCTACATTGTCTTCAGCGCAAGCGACTAATCGCTTTCTTAAAAGATTTCAAAAAATGTTTTGCGCGGTCCTGCGAAGACTTGTGTCGAATCGCTCTTGAGATTGTGCAGCCTAGGATCGCTCTCAGCCTCGAGACTTGACCCCTTGCTTTCAAACCTCGAACTCGGACTCAGAAAGTTCAAAGGTCAACCATAATGTGAGGCCTGCGTGGCCAGATTCGGAGCAGCCCTCGAACTAGGGGCAAGAAAAGTCAGATCAAGAAGATCAAGTGTTTTCAAAGGAATCTTGTGAAGCTAGATCAAAAGCCTTCAAACTAGGGGCGAAACTGTCAGATGTGCTCGAAGAGTAAAAAAAATTGGGATGTTTCTCAAGCTAACAAAGATCGGCAAGAATGCCAAATCCCAGAGGGGAAGAAAGAAGAAAGTATTGCTGAAGAAAAACTGAGCACGAAATACAAGGAAGAGAGGAACTAACAGTTTAGAGAGAGGAGGACAGTGGGGAGCAGGCAGAAATCGCAGAGGTCTTGGAAGAGAGACACTGTGAACGAGCCAAAAAGCCTTTCACATTCAAAAAATATTTGAAAAGACAGCGCGGTTGTGTATTACATTAAATGAGCAATGTGTATGAAGAGGCGGGAAGTTATAATCATTTCTAAAACCGTATTCATTTTGATGCTTCGATATTGGAAGTAGTCTGAGCGCTGTATTTTTTGACTTTCCATACGCAAAACTAAACATGCCGGCTAATTGGGAGAACGTTAAGCAGTCCCGAGACAAGGCGCGAGAAAAGAAGAAAAATGAAGAAAATAAAAAGAAAAGATGAAAAAAGAAGAAAAGAAATGAAAAGAAAAGAAGAACAGAGCTCGCAAGGTTGAAAACCCGGGAAGGGCGGCCTTGGCAAAAGTTAGAGCGCAAAAGGAGAGGTGAAATACCCGAGTGTACCTTAACCCCGAACTACGTAAGGCTTGATTCCCATCTTTGGGATACACAGGCAACTTCATTCTGAAGTCCATTCGTAAAACACTTCAAATTGATTGTGTCCATGTAATGGTTTTGATCATCTTCGCTTTCTCTGTATCCGAGAATTTGGTTGTGTTCGTCACTCTGAGGACTGACTACAATGCGTTGCGGGGCCATTCAGACAAGGGGCAACTTTCTGTTGCCATTCAATGCGCTGTGGTGCCATTCAAGCAAGGGGCAACTTTCCGTTGCCATTCAATGCACTGCAGTGCCGTTCAAACAAGGGGCGAATGTCCGTTGCCATGCAGCTCCCCTCAAGCAAGGGGCAATTTTCCTTTGGATCTGAGGTTGTACATCTCGAGAGTGGGTTCTATGCTTGTTGAGCAGTGGTCGTTTGAAAAAAACAGTTTTTGAGAATTTTTACTAAGGTTGACTGATCTTCTCTCAAAAACTATTCTATTTTTCCAAAATTGGACCTTTTTCTTGGACCCAAAAAAGGAAAATTTTCAGTGCTCATAACCTAACTTGCATGATTTTGAATTAGAAAATCAAACAAGCGTGTTAATCTAACTCTCATTTTGGTTAAAATTGTTTTAGTAGAAAGCCAAAAACAAAAAATGGTCAAAATGATGAACTAGGGGCACAGTTGAGTCAGGTTCTGTCTTTTCCCCATTGTCAACATACATGTCAGAAAAGGCGCCATACTTGCCAAGAAGGGCACCCTACCTACCAGAAAAGGCACAATTGAAGGCGACAACAAAAGGGCTAAAAGCTCTCTCATCCTCCAAGCAGCGAGATATCAAGCAAAGTGCGAAGCACAAGATTGGAATGGATCAAGATACTCCATTCCCTCATCCGGCGCGTCAACAGATGTCACCGGAGGAAATAGCCACGAACTGATTATGTTGGGCAAGAGCCCGCAACTTTCAGTTTATCCATCAACCACCCGGGGGAGAGATAAAAAAATGAGAGATTGAAGAATAGAGAGATGTGCGCTGAGAGAAAAAGTGAGGAAAGGGCTTTTTCAGAAAAACAAAGCATGAGGGCCGAGTGATGTGAGAATCACAAATAAGAAAAGGGTGGGAAATAATACCCAGGGAAACTGGCTCCTCGTGCACCAAGAGGTCTCTTGTCTTTGTAACACAGTTGAGTGTTGTGTTTGTGTGTTTTGTTTGTCTCGATTCTTGTTTTGAGTCGTTTAAGTGTCAATAGATGTGTTTACGTTGTTCTACCTTTGTTTTCCATTGTTGAGTCGTTTTGGCTGTGGTCAGTTGTAGGCTCAATACCCGGTTGAGAACCCTTTTCTCATTTCAATTTCAAAAATCGTTTTGTGCTCAGAGTGCCGTGTCGTTCTCCACATTTGTGCAAATCAGGATTGGTTCTTTCATAAAGCCGCGGGATTCAACCCAGGTCATGTGAAAACAGTAAAACCAGGACCCATCTGAAGCTATGAAAGTTTCGGGCTACAAAGCAAAAGAAAAGAGGGAAAATGTCGGGCATCCGAGATTGTTTCAACTTCTGCAAGTTTCGTCATTGCATCCTGTATATTTAGAATGAGCAGTGTCTTGTATGAGCTGTGTGCTGAATAAACAAAATACTGTGTTATGGGCTGTGAGTTCAGAATGAGTTATGTTCAGAACGGACCGTGTGTTCAGAATCAGCGGTGTCCTGCGTGAGCCGTATGTTCCAAAATAAGTAGAATATTGTGTTATGAGCTGCGTGATCAGAATAAGCAGTATGCCGATACGAGCTGTGTGTTCAAATTGAACAAAATACTGTGTTGACTGTTTCACTATTTCAAGCCAGAATGGTGATCAGAAGTGCTCTCCTTAAGTACCGTTCCCTGCGAGAGTAAAACAGTTTACCGCCACTCACTCTGTGAGGTGCTTTCTAAAGTGCCGCTTTGTTTGTTTATTGCAAACATCACGCTCTGCATTGCTTGCAACATGTATCGTATCATCACACTTATTGCATTTATTTGCATCTTGTGTTATCTCTTATTGTTTATCCTTTTACGCAGAGCAGAGTTTTGGATCGTTGTCCCCCGGGACTCAACTTAGGTTGCGTGGAACACGCTCCCGAGTTGTTAGTGGAGTGTGTAGTGGAGTAGAGGTAGGTGAAGTGGAGTGTGTAGTGGAGTAGAGGTAGGTGAAGTGGAGTGTGTAGTGGAGTAGAGGTAGGTGAAGTGGAGTGTGTAGTGGAGTAGAGGTAGGTGAAGTGGAGTGTGTAGTGGAGTAGAGGTAGGTGAAGTGGAGTGTGTAGTGGAGTAGAGGTAGGTGAAGTGGAGTGTGTAGTGGAGTAGAGGTAGGTGAAGTGGAGTGTGTAGTGGAGTAGAGGTAGGTGAAGTGGAGTGTGTAGTGGAGTAGAGGTAGGTGAAGTGGAGTGTGTAGTGGAGTAGAGGTAGGTGAAGTGGAGTGTGTAGTGGAGTAGAGGTAGGTGAAGTGGAGTGTGTAGTGGAGTAGAGGTAGGTGAAGTGGAGTGTGTAGTGGAGTAGAGGTAGGTGAAGTGGAGTGTGTAGTGGAGTAGAGGTAGGTGAAGTGGAGTGTGTAGTGGAGTAGAGGTAGGTGAAGTGGAGTGTGTAGTGGAGTAGGTGAAGGTAAAGATGGGAAATTCTAACAGCCCCCCGCAAACTCAAGGAGGAGAGAAACAAACCAACTTGAGTTTGGAGAGAGTAACAAAACAAGAAAATACATAAAAATAAAAAAGGATAGGAGACACTGTATGGTCGTGTCAGACCATTGGTGAAGACACTGGTGAAGTGGAGTGTGTAGTGGAGTAGAGGTAGGTGAAGTGGAGTGTGTAGTGGAGTAGAGGTAGGTGAAGTGGAGTGTGTAGTGGAGTAGAGGTAGGTGAAGTGGAGTGTGTAGTGGAGTAGAGGTAGGTGAAGTGGAGTGTGTAGTGGAGTAGAGGTAGGTGAAGTGGAGTGTGTAGTGGAGTAGAGGTAGGTGAAGTGGAGTGTGTAGTGGAGTAGAGGTAGGTGAAGTGGAGTGTGTAGTGGAGTAGGTGAAGGTAATGTGGTAGTAGGTGTAGTGGAGGTGATAGTGGGTTAGGTGAAGTGGAGTGTGTAGTGAAGTGGAGGTAGGTGCAGTGGAGTGTGTAGTGGAGTAGGTGAAGGTAATGTGGTAGTAGGTGTAGTGGAGGTGATAGTGGGTTAGGTGAAGTGGAGTGTGTAGTGGAGTAGAGGTAGGTGAAGTGGAGTGTGTAGTGGAGTAGGTGAAGGTAAAGATGGGAAATTCTAACAAGGGGTCGCAGTTATCACCTGACTAATGACAGTGGAAGAACCTTCAGCATGATTTGAATGAGTAGTCAAAATAAAGCAGAAAGCAAACATCACTAGAGTTGATGACTTGTAAGTCATCTGACACCTAACATCTGATGGCCTACGTAACATGGCTCCATACATGAAACGAAAAAATTCACTCACCTTTCTAAAAGGCACATCACCTCCCAGCTTAATTCCTAACATCACCATACGTGCAACCCAGAAAAAGAGAATGTCATGCCCAGTTTCAAGCACTGAAGTTGGATAAAATGCCTTTAAATCATCTGTATCATTCGGCCAACCTAACACAGATATTGGAAAAAGACCAGCAGAAAACCAGGTATCCAGGACATCAGGATCTTGAGAAATCTGAAATTCCTTGACAGCAAATATTCGGCTAGCCTCTGTTCGAGCCTCTTCTTCATTTCTAGAAACCACCCAGTGGTCATCGTATGCACCAAGTTCTTTAAGTTCATCATCCTCCAATGTCACATACCATGCAGGAATACGGTGCCCCCACCAAAGCTGCCTTGAGACGCACCAATCACGAATATTTTCTAGCCATCTGTGATGTTTGACATACATAATTTATTACTATAGAAACAGGAATAGTTATAATGCTGAAAGATGCACACTCAAGCAGGAATAGCTGTGCATGAAGAAATCACCATGCAACAAAGCTTAAAATTCACAAATATTAGGATCCCACATCCATACTAATTTTTCGGAATTTGGAAAATAATATCCAACCTACTTTTGTACCTTCTGTGAATTAGATGAATAAGGCATCAAAACCCTAGCTATTCAAACACCACGGAACCCTAGCACTCATGTCACCATCACAACAAGAAACACTTAGCGTCGGTGACTCGTCACCCTTACAATCGTCATCACAGTGAAGATGCCACTAGAGAAGACAACTGTCACCTCTTTTTGGCCCATCCCATCGCCATCACAAGCAGTCTCAGTGGCTATTGTCACGTTTTTTCATCTTTTTTTTTTTTTTTTTTTTCTTCAAGATGAACTCTAATAACTGGAATCAAAGATATGTTGATTGGCATTCCTTACTAAAGTGGGTTGCTGTCCTGCTGGTTTGGCAAATTTGGATTGATAGTTGACACAACAAATGAACACAAAATGGCACAAAATTTGACGTGCAAAGGCATACTTCCCATAGGAAATACTTTGGTGACTTCTTTTGCTTCTATAGACGCGAACCTTGTGCATGTATGCCACATGGTAACACGTAGCGGCTCAAAAAAAGTCTATAATCGCATCGTAGTGGATTGAATTAATCCAATACCCAGCCCGTTACCACACACCCCAAGACCCAATCCCACTTAAAACCCAACCCATTTAATCCTACATCAGCCCAAACCCAAACCAACTAGTTTCCAAACCTAATTTAAACCAACCCACCTTCCATCAACCCAACACAACCAAAATACAAGTCTTTCCCATCCAACCACCAGCCCAATAAGGAAAAAGAACGAAAACAAAAAACTCTTCCCCTTGTTTTTTTTTACCATGGTTATTGATTCCAAATTACATTCAAAATTTGATACCTTACAAAAATCACAACAAGATTTGAAGACCTCATATGACTGATTGTTAGGACAATTGACATAGATGCAAGCGATTTTGGACATAGTGTCAGCACATGTTTTAGAAGGTAATCAGAACACTTTTGAGGACCTCATATGACTGATTGTCAGGACAATTGACATAGATGCAAGCGATTTTGGACAAAGTGTTAGCACATGTTTTAGAAGGTAATCAGAATACTCCACATAAAGGTTGTGAAGATCAAATAGCAAATGATGATTAAGAGGTCCCAAAGAAGGAGAAATGTGACGTTAATAAAAAACAATACCCAATTAGTACACATTAATGTGTAGTTAATATGATAGAAAATTCAGAAGGTGCGAAGTCACAAATAACTACCAAACTTACGCACTAAAATTCACTTACATTGATAGGAAAATTGAGTTTACAAAAGAGAAAAAACACCAAAACAATCTAAAGTTATAATACCAATTAAAAACTGAACAAATTGTAAGAAAGTATCACTTAAACATTACTCTCCTCGCACTTTTAGTTGCAAAATTCTAATTAAACTTATATAATCTGACTTATATATCTTATCTTTTTTAATGGATAACATTTTTAATGCATTCAATTTTTTTGGTGACATGGTCGACCAAAGATAAATAAACTTTAAGTCATAAAAGCTTTTGTTCCGAGAAGAAACTATACCTGATATAGTCAACAATATTACGGGCTCTTTCCTTTAAATTGGGCCCTGCCTTATTTGAGGCTTGATAAGTATAACACAAATATTTTTCGACCTAATATAAAGGCTAAATTTTTTGAGGGGCCCTAAATTTTTGCAAATATTTGGGGGACCTACAGGCTGCCTTGCCGTCATATGCCTAGTCTGGTCCTATTCCCAGGCATGGACCAGTTGAATATTTAAAAGTGAACTTGAGGTTGAGTTCTTTTTCTCAATCGAGGAGAATGATGCAGAACATAGAGTAAAATGTTCATGATGTGCACGGCAACTTTGGCAAGGAGGTTGTATTTACAATTTTATAATTTTATGCCACTAGTATTTATATTTATTTTCTTTTTAAAAAACAGTTTAATTAGGTGTCTTGTTAATATTTAGTTTCTTATTGTTATTAGTGTTCCTAATATTAGTTTTCTAATTTAATTAGGGTTAGTAGCCAAAATGTACTAGGCATTGCATTGCATTATTTAGAGTTTGATTAATAAGATTAAGTGTTTAAAGTTTTGTCGCCTTGTGTGGTTATTGTGGACCTTGGGTTCTTCTTCTCATCCCTTTCTCCTTCTCTACTCTACATCAATTTCAAGACTAAAAGTGAAGATGGGGAGATACACAGCAAAGCTTCAAGGACTTGAATACTTCATGACTTTTTAATCATTATTCCCCCAAAATGGCATGAAACACTTTGGGTATGTTTTGTTTAGTTTTGAGAGAGTAATTTTTAAAAATTGTTTTGGGGAAAGAGAAGAGAGTTTAGAAATTTTTTTAGTTTGTTTGGTCGTGTATTTTGAAAGTAATTTTGGAGTTTGGGAATTTGGAATGATTTGATATTTTGTTGTAATTGAGTAGATGTGTGTGAGAGAAAAAGTGATTGAGAATGAGAGAGGAGAGAGAAAAAGTGATTGATTGATTGATGTGTAACAGAAAGAAAGTGATTTTGAAAATTATTTTGGAAAAATTTCAAACCAAACAAGTTTTTTAGAAAAAAAATTCCAAAATCACTCTACAAAGCCAAACCAATCATACCCTTTGTATTGACAAAGGTAAAATCACATTTGACAATACCTCTTCCATTCAGTAGCATATTGTCTTGGAATGATCTCCATTTTCCTATTTTCCTCATCAAAGACAGCATCAAGAGCTTGCTTGGCCATACTATTGCAATTTACATACCACTGAGGCTTTATCAACGGCTCCACAACATCATTGCTTCTTGAACAAATGCCAAGTCGCATCTCATTAGTTTTGGCACCTCTATAGAGTCCCTAAATGAAGGAAGAATATATATGTCAATAAACTTGCAGTGTTTCTTTGTTCTGAACTATAAATAAATTTTAATGCAAGCAAACAAATTTGCTTCTAACAAGTTCCTGTTGACACTTCCTCTGTCTGCATGTTTGTGTCCGTTCTGAGAGACAAACTGCCATGGTGGGGAATGATAAACAATAAAACAGAGAATTCCTACCTGTTATATACACCTCCACACACACACATATAAATCACGCATCCTTCAGCACAAAGGCAAAGGAAGTGCGTTTCTCCAAAACGGCACCTGAAACTTCTCTTTTGATATCTACAAAAACTAACTAAAACCATTGCTTTATCAAGTTGTTACTCCATTGTTTTTCCCTTTTTTTTATTTTTATTTTTTTATCAAGTTGTTACTCCATTGCTTTATCAAGTTGTATAAATTACTATATTAAAAAGTACATATTTATTGACCCTCAAATATACATATACATATATATATATATATATATTCTTTTTTTGATGCCCAGAACACTCCCGTGGCAGACCCTTAGGATCCACTCTTACAAGCCAAACTGGGGGAAGCTAGCCGATCCACCTAAACTGTCGGACTTCACTTGACTAGTAGGAGATTCGAACCCCGGTCAGTGAGGAGAGAAGCAAACTCCCTTACCAACTAGGATGGCCCCTTGGTGGTTTTTGACCCTTAATTAACCAGTGTAGACCAATCCAATCCAAGTAGCAAGAATACCTTTCTCTGTAAAGCTGCTGTTACAGCCTCACGGGCTTTGAAACGTGGCATTCCCGCAAACTCCGAGCCACCATTACTATTTATTTTCCCATCATCAGTAAAGATGTTGATAAAGTCAAGATTATGACGCTTCCCGACCTCAAAATCATTTGGATCATGGGCAGGAGTTATCTGCAAGAGTTTACATTAAGATCCAAAAAAGGACAAATAAAAGAAAAGTTCAACACCAGCATTCTTCGTCTCAAAGGAGAATCTTTACCTTAACAGCACCAGTCCCAAAATTCTGATCAACAAGTATTGCATCACAAACTATAGGAAGCTTTCTTCCATTGAATGGGTGAATAGCGAATTTTCCATGGATATTGCTGTATCTTGGGTCCTCAGGATGTATCGCTACTGCAGTATCACCAAGCATAGTTTCCACTCTAGTAGTGGCCACAATAATCTCACCTAGTCCTCCTTCCAGAGGGTAAGCAAATGATGTCAAAACACCAAACTCCACCAGCTTTTGATATCCAGGAACCTTTAACTGTGTCCTTTCTTTGATATCCAAATAGTCTACCTACAAATCCCAAGCAACCTCAGAATATAGAATATACTCAAATGATAATCAATTAAAAGTTCAACAGGATATGGTTTACCTCAATATCAGATATTGCTGTTCGTAAGTTGCAGTCCCAATTCACTAGCCGCAGATCCCTGAAATAGTAGGTGACATGGATTTTAATCTCCAGATAGCTACTCATCAAACTAAGGAAATTGTATAGAAGAACACGATGAGGGGGCATAGTTTATACAGAAAATTAATACAGACAGAATAAGAAAATTGGAAGAGGGGAGGGGGGGAGGGGGGGAAACTTTCAAAGAGAGAACAGATGAACAAAAATTGGTGCTAATGTCTCCATTTCCTTGTACTAGATAGGTGCAAACATGATGCGTTTGCAATTTTACGTCTAAATTGTTTTTGGTGAGTTGATGAATTAAGAAGATGGGTTGAATTTGATTACTGCTAGCCGTTATTTTCTAAAGCAGATAACAATTTGGGCCTTTTTGGAGAGAGAAGAAAAAAAAAAAAGAAGCATTACAAAGCTTCAAAACCTTTTGTGTTGTATAATTTATATAATAGTATAGATAATCAAGTCAAACAGCTCAAATCAAGAACCATTAAATGACACTTAAATTAACTTTTGATAATTTGATTCAAAATTTAATCCAAGTTCTTTAATATCATACATCCCTTCCATGCTTCATCCCATTGAACTGGACTAGAATTTGAACAATGCATAAGCATTTTGCCTTCCAATATATAAAAGACCACAATGTCCCAGCAAAGGCCTCACCAATTAAACAATATGAAAGATACTAAACAACTTTTCAATTCGTTCCTTCAGCATGTCAAAACTAGGAAGAGTTGTTATCACTTAGAAAATATGAGAAAGAAGAAATATATTTCTGTTATATTCAAAACTTCTTATTTTACAAGACCAAATGACACTCCTTATATAGGAGATATTACAAACATCATTATAACCCATTATATGCCACTTACATATTATATATTACCACTATCTACCACTATCATACTATATACATGCCACTATCTACCACCAACACCACTATCATATTATATACATGCCACTATCTACCACCAACACCACTAGCATATTCTATACATGCCACTATCTACCACCAATACCACTATCATATTATATGTATTAACACAAATTTCCAGCATTATCTATTTTCAGATTAAGACAAAAATTTAGGATTAAGATTTGAGAACATGTCATACTATTTCTTTTTCTTCCTCTCTCTTCTACTTTTTCCTTCTAGTTTTGGGTGAGCATTAACTGTACAATTAAAAAACCTACTACTAGGAATAATGCAAAAACAATCTACAAACACATGGATAGCAGTCTATGGAAAAATGATTTGAAACATACCTATAAATAAGACCTTCTTTGTAAAGCCTAACAAAAGCCTCTGTCACAGCCTTGGATCTTTTCTCATCCATTGTGAAGCACTGTTAGAAGAACCAAGAGGATCCAATAAAACAGCCATAAAGGGTGTCCATGCCACCATAACCAGAAAATGCTAAAACCCTATCAAGTTAGGTTCTGGAACGCATGTTCTGAGATATGGTGTACTTTCATTCTAAAATGGAAAATTTAATGATCCAAAGTGACCCTAATAGTTTTTTCCCAATATGTTTCCTAAACATTTCCTTAGGAGTAAAATGTATTGCTATATTTTTTGGGTAACTAATTGTTAAAAAAATTACTCTAGAAATACCTTAAATTCAGGCCTCGTTTGGGAACAGGCTAATTTAGTAACTTTTTTGCTATTTGGCTAAAATATGAGCTAAAAAAAACTAGTATGTTTGGGATGACTTTTTGGCTTTTTACGAAAAGATGTGCAAAAAGTAGAGAGAAAAGAGAATCTTTGACTTTTTGGTATGGGTTGTTGGCTTTTTGGCTAATTTAGTAACTTTTTGGCTAAAATAGAGGGTTCCCAAACAAGGTCAGTGTAATTTGTACAAGTCTACCTGTACCACATTTTAGAGCATATGGCATACTATGTTCCCATTCTCTGTAAACATGGTTTCGAAATTTCAAATACATATTCCCTTTCCCTGTACCAGAACAATCCATGTTCCACGTAACATACGTCCATGCAATAAGACTAGACTACATCCAGAACGAATTCAAACATGGTTTCGAAATTTAAAATCTTACCTCACGGGACCAATCAAGAGACGCACCCAAGCATCTTAGTTGTTTCAATATGGTGCCACCATACTCCTCCTTCCAACTCCACACCTTTCACCACACATTAGTAAACACCAAAAAATGAATATATGTACAAATTGAACTAACAGAGGTTTAAACTTCTAATGATGTAAAAACAGGTTAATGATAACTCAAACTTACTTCAGATACAAATCTCTCACGGCCAACATCGTGCCTAGTTAATTTCCTTTCCCGCATGATTTTCTTCTCCACAACCACCTGCAAGATAGGAGTAAAATAACACATTTTGAATATTACCCACAATAGTCTAAATGATGGACAATTTATGTAGCTATGATAGCATATGTGTGGCAGACAATCATTGCTGCATTTATTGGGTGCCAATTCATGTCATAAGCATGACCTTAGCTCAATCAGTCACACACGTGGGACCCTAACCAGTCCCTACACAAAATATCACCGCCAAATACACATCAGGTCCATTAATATGTAACCATTGGAATAGAATTTTCATATGAAATCATTGAACCCATATAAGTCGAATCTCATGGCACAGGATGATGCACAATCCACATCTTATCATTCTCTTTATGCCATTGGTTAATCTAAAAACATAAATTAGCCACCCCATATATACATTATGCCCATACAACACCTCCCCTACCCCTTAAGGATATATGCTCACAAAAATTAAGAGATACAAATTGAGAAAATGAATACATTAAAGAGGTAATCACTGACCTGGGTAGCTATCCCAGCATGGTCCATTCCAGGCACCCACAATGTATTGTATCCAGACATTCTACGCCAACGAATAATAGTATCCTGCGTGCAGAGGAAATTCAACAGCCTAAAAAAATTGCAAATCTACAAACTAAATCAAAAAGCAAAAAGAAGCAGAAGGAAGACATGATAACAAAGAGACCTCGATGGCAGAGGTAAGAGCATGGCCTATGTGTAGGGCCCCAGTAACATTTGGAGGTGGCAGAACCTACAGTTATACCACAAAAAAAAAAAAAAAAAAAAAAAAAAAAAAAAAAAAGAGGTGAAACTTGTGATCTTGTTAATTTGTGTCTTAGAATCTACAATTAACTGACAGGATTGTTAAAAGTGAGGACAAGATACTCCTTAAAACAAAACAAGGTAATAATAATAGCTGGAAGGTGACGCAGAACTAGTGAGGAAAATTTACAGATCAACCTCCAAAAAAAGACACCACTTTCATCCTCTGTCCAAAAGTCTGAATGAATCACAAAAGATGGAAACAACAAGAAAAGGCTTAAATACAACAGGCTCTCTTGGGGCAAACCAATTGATTGGTGCTCTAGAATCAATGCCTAAAACTTCCAACTCCAAAGAAGAACAGGTCACCCAGTTACAGAACCTTGGGGCAGATATATGATTTAAAAATTAAAATAAAAATAAAATAAAATAAAATCTGATTTGTCGTATATAAAGAAACTTGTAAGTTGTAATTGAAAGATGCATTTTTTTTCCTGAACTCTTATTATCTCAGAGTCCAATAAACTCCATAATACTTTCTTTTATTTTGACACCTAATCATGTAGACAGTCCTTACAATTGCCACTACTTTCTACTTTACATTTAACTTGTCAGATTTGGAATGTACATTTAACTATTGTGCCATGGATAGTACAAGCAAGAGAAAGCATGAGTGGAAAACATCATAAACTATCACATGCTGAAGGGAACACCAAAAAAAAGAAAAATGGAAAGCATAAGAATAACATAGATATATGTGCATGTTTTTAGCAATATAACTCAGTGGCATAATGAGTTTGAAAAATGAACTCAACCAACCAGAGAAAAGTATGTTCAGTGCATTGTACAGAGTGTACATATAACTTAGGATGAATCAAGGCTTTGGAAGATGAAATTAAAAAACTAAACCCATCAAGCACTATAGGAACCAACTCCAACCGGGTAATACTACTCTTATTGTAGGACAGAGATGGGAAGAGTTATTACTTCAACTCACTATAATTTCATATTCCTCCAAAATTTGTCGCAAGCATATATATTTGAGTGAATGCTACATTAGCAGTTTAAGAACGCCATAAATCATACGGCAAAAATTATGCAAAATGTTTAACATCAAGATGCAACAACTACAAACACACGCATATTGTACCTCAAGATTATAACAGAAGGAACTCCTCAAAGTATTTAAAGGACAACATACTCCAAATAACAAAATGCAAATTACTATGAATTGTTCTTTTTTTAGTAAATGAAATCAACATCCTTCGGATCAGCAGAAAGAAAGGAAACCCACAATTCCAAGTTTGGCTTTAGCAATTTGGTAATCATATTTCACTTCAGGACACTGGACATCAAGCATATGCTCTAGTGATACAAATAGTATAGAGCTATTGTTTAAGCATCCAGGTTCCACATTCATATAAAACCATATTACCATAGCCCATTTCTATCCAAAACTTCCAACATTACCTCAATAAAACAAGCAAGCAAAACAAGAAACCACTTTTGATTTCCAGCAAAAATCTAGCGACTCACAATCACAAATGGCGGCTTGGAGCTGCTAGAATCTGCTGCAAAGAAACCTGATTTCTCCCACCATGCATACCATCTAAACAAGAAATTAAATGACATAAGGACTGTTTATGAGTTTTTTTTTTTTTTTTTTAAAGCTGGGGGACACAACATAAATTCCAAACTTACGATTTCTCTACAGCACTTGGACTGAATTGCTTAGCCATTTGTTGAGAAAGATGTTTCTTCTCACCAGAAGGAGTTTCTGGATCAAGATAATCCTCAGGATTTTCTTCCCCTGCCTCCCTCTTTATGTTCTTTCGTTTACCCATTTTTGAAGTATTAGACACTTGTGCCTGAAAGCATCATTCATGCAAATAAATCTATTGAATTAACAATCATCAATTGATAAAAGAGATGAGCTCGAAATTATTTACATTTTTCATAGTCTTAACATACAGTTTAGGGGAATAGCATTGTTTACACTTTATTTAGCATCGTATATAAATTCTTGTGAACAATGATCATGAATGAGTAGTAAATGCGAATGATGATCATGAATGCGACCATAAACAAAATCCACAAGTGCACAACCAATAATGATAGTAATTTTACCTGAAGTTTTGCTGCTTCTGCTTTTTGTGCAGCCTTGAGTTTTTTCAATTCTTTCTCTCTTGCCTACAACAATAAACCACCGCATATACATTATTACTCCACAATCACAAACAAAGAAATAAGTAGATTTTAGGTAGCACAGCCAAATAACCCAAACCAATTGAAACTTCCCACATGCTAAGCGTTTGACGATTCATATCAATCAAACACCATTGCCAAAGCTTCCCAAATCTTTCCATAAACAATTGAAAATTTTTCATTTTGGAAAACATTTTCAACACATAAGCCAAACATAAGAACTTCAAAAGAAAAATCAAATTTTTTATGCAAAATATTTTACCAAGTAAAATGTTTTGTATATCTTATTCATAGAGACTTAAGATAATGACCAAAATGTGATAGAACTGGGCACGCCCTAAGAAGCATGGACCCTTCTGTGAAAGAAGCAGGATGGTGTTTGACTCTTTGGATACTCATAAAAGTGTGTCTACCACTTCTTCAACATGTCTTAGTTAAAAAATCAAATCCATTATATCGGACACATTACTAACATTTTGCGGACACTTCAGCCCGAACCCTCTGAACATGTCCTATGTGCAGGCCTGGCCCTAGTAACAGGCAACTGCCATAGGCCCCCAATTTTTGAACAAAAATAGGGCCCCCAAAATATTTAAGGCCTCATATTATTAGAAAAATCAAATAGGGCTCAATCTAACTTATTGAGGCCAAATCTACCTTTATATAAAATAAACGGCCCAAAAATTTGAGTCAAATTAAATTATATAAAATTTTGGATTTAAATTTTAAAAACAAAGCAACGCTTTATTTCTTATTTCTTATTTCCCTACTTACAACAAATAGTGACTCTCTACTACTACTACGAACATCAATTATCAACTAAGTTGACCGTCATGAGTAAGAAGCTAGCGTGAGTCGTGACGGGCACCGGCTTCCAGCATCTGGTGTCTGATGACGGTTTCCAACGACTAATGTCCAGTGAGTCCTCTCCATTTCTTTGATGGTTTTTAATGAAAGAATCTTTGCCCTAAAAATTGTAATTTCTACACCCTAATTGATTTTGTTCTCCTTACAAGTAAATCCATTAAATCCTTGTGTTTTTTGCTATTAGATTATTAGTTTTAATCATCTTTTTTCTTTGTCCTTCTAAATCCATTAAATCTTTTTTGTGTTGTGCTAATTTGCCCTAATTTTTGCGTTTGTAAGTTTTGATTCAATCTTGGCTATTGTGTGTATGTATTCTTTGAAGGGGAAATTATAGCGATTATGGTTTAGACCCGACCCATTGATATTCTGGATCCGAATTTTATTGTCTTATATGATTGTTCGTGTCTTATTTCTCCTTGTTCCTCGTTGAGTTTGGTTATTGGAGTGTCTTGGATGCGTTTGGAACAGGTCAGGAGTTAGTTTTTCGAAATGGTTCCTATCCAGATTTTAACCTCTTCGCTCACGCAACACTTCTTGGGCTCGAGCGGTCTTTGAGAACTCTTAGTACTTTTGCAGGCCTACAAAGATACTGTGAGTTGGCATTCTACGCTCGAGCGGTCATTCTTGCACTCGAGCGATGTTGGCTCGAGTGGCTCTTCTTACTCTCGAGCGATGGTCCTCTATCTATAAAACTTCTGAGAGTTTGTATTCTTCGCTCGAGCGGTAAACTTCTTCGCTCGAGCAGTCTCACTTATTGTGTCTGGTAGCTCGAGCGACACTTCTTGTGCTCGAACGGTCTGCGCATATATCAATCCGTAAAGACACCTTTTTGGCTCACTTTTTCATATCTCTCTCTCTCTAAACTTTCTAAAAACCCTAAATCAAGGGCCCCTCTCTCTCTCTAAAACTCACCTTCTCACTACAAATACATCTAGATCTATTGATTTCTTCACTCGTGTCCCTTTGATAAAAAGGTAGAGCACTCCGAGAGCTTCCTTTTGATCGGAGCAAAGTTGGGTTTCGGCGTTGTTGAAGTTTCTTCATTTCTCCTCTTGTCTTCTAAGTTTGAGGTAGGGATTTTCCACACTTCCTTATGATTTTTAACTTAATTATTTGCTATTTCTAAAAAAATTTTGTGATTTGGGGATTTTTGGACAAATATAGGGTTTTGGATTAAAAATCAAAAGAGGGATTTTCAAATGGATTCTTGAAAATGGTTGTGAGATTAGAAATGAGGTGGAGTTGTGATAAAATAGTTGGTCTTTATACTTTGAATTGATTTTGAAAGGAAAGAAGATTTTTCCCTAAATATCTTAAATGTTGATTTTGTATAAATAAATGAAATTAATGTTGAAAATGTAAAATTAGATTGATATTGACGAGGATGGTGGAGTTAGGTATGTATTTTCACTCACATCTTGGAATTTAGAAAGTTTATCTTTATGAAAATAAATTATTTGTTAGAGATATCTATTTTGGGCTATCGGTGGAGGGTAACTATGATTGTTGTAGAAATTGCAAGAGAATTAGGAGAATTGAAATTATTTTCTCATCCATTGCATTGAGCATTGTTGCATATTTAACACATTTGAAAATATTGTTATTTTGAGAAAAATAGATGAATAACTTGGTGAATCTGGATAGGAGTGTAGTTGTGATATTAAGTTGGCCTGTATGTCCTTGGTGAAAGACCAAAAACCCGCGCGGTTAGGTGTCGAACATTCCAGTTAATACTGATAAAAATGAAAATTTGGTAGTGCTCGTAGCCTACTTGCAGACACGTCCTAGAGATTTACAGTGTTGTATTCATTGCTCTGTTTTCTATTATAAAGGAAATAATATCATGATTTGAGATGTAAACTTGGTATTGCACGGTTTTGGAAAGAGAAATGAAACTGTTTTGGCACGAACATTGCATATGCATTCACCTTATATCTTTGTTAAGATTCATAAACTGTGTTGTAGTATCTCTACTTGGAGCAAGAGCTTCATTTTGTTTAACTGTTGTAATGATTTTTGTACAAGCCTAGGGCTTTACCTGTTTTGAGTTTAAAACTCACTTTTGTTGTAAACCAGTATCGTCTTGGAAAAATTATAGCCATTAGGGCATTCTCTTCTTTGTTTATGTTCATCCTATTTCCTTATCATGTAACGTATGTTATAGATTCAGGGTTAGACTTGTGAATGTATATCTGCCTATGTTATTCTTTTGTACAAGTAATTGGGACTAATGGAGGATAATTATTTCATCATATGTTATTATTTAATTAACGTGTTATATGGGTTATTGTCATTCACTCAGGACGTTACAGAAATGCTCTGATGTGCACCCCTTTAGGGGTGCATACCATATGCAACCTACAACAAAAATGTGTAACTTTACCATAAAATTCCATAACATTAACCATAAAATACGTAACCTCGTCACAATTTGGTGTAACAAAAATGTCCAAAATTTTGTGGTTGATGTTGCAAAAGTTTGTGACTTGATTACGATATTTTTGCTACACCAATTTGTTGTGAGGCTACGCATTTTGTGGTTGATATTACGAAATTTTGTAGTAAAATTACATATTTCCCTCTTTGAAGAATTTGAACATAAATGTCTTCATGTTTAAGTATGTAATTTTTAATAAACTAGTGTTATGTTACATTATTTATATTATTTTAAATAAAATACTATACAAATAAAAAAAAATTCATACATAAACATAATGATGTGACTCATTGTGGGCATTTCACTTCAAAACAAAATATTATTAAAAATAGATTTATTTACAATAATGGCAGTATCACATCATTCTTATCAAGTTTTTTTTGTATGAATTTTATGTAAGAATAGAATTTTCTTCAATAAATTACTGTATTTATATATATGACATATTATAGATTTGTAAAAATAAAACATTTTATCTTGTCACAAACATGTCCCATGCCCTTCATTTTTTGAAAATTGAGGTGTCTACTCAAGTAGCTCCATTAGAATAGAATGAACAGAAGCAGTAGCAGTAGATTGTGTACGTTGTTGGAAGGTCCTACCTTTTCTTCTTTCTTCTTCTTCTTCTTCTTCTTCTCAAGGTCTTCTGCCTGTGGTTGTGCCTCTGATTCTACCTAGCAATTCAATCATCTTTAAAAATCAATTTTTGCAAATTAAAGCTCAGCAAAACCCTCATTAAAGCTCCTATTGTTGGTGCAAAGTGGAAAGAATAAGAGTTGGCACCTATTTAATCAAAGACTAACGATGACATTAAAATTAAATGAAATTGGACTATAATGTCCTGTTTTTGAACCTTTTGATTGTTTCCATTCATCGTCGGGTCTAGTTGTCCAGTCTCTGATTCCATCTATAAAAACAAGAAACAAAGAAAAAGACATACATAAAACCCCAATTCTAAAACACTGGAACAGTTAGTTGGGAATTGACTCACCATAGTCGAATCAGGGACAGGGATTGAAATCAAAGGCACCCTCTCCTCCGCTTTCTCTGTTCTCTCTGTCTATGATGATGAGTCTGTATGTATGTCGTTTGATTTGGCTGCGCCGACGTTGTCGCCACGCGCAACGCGAATCAGTCCGCCATTCTATATAGTCAAACTGGTATAATATATATTCTCACTCTGGCCGTGCGCTCCACGGAAGAAAAGAATTTCACTTTTCTTCTTTGTTTTTTTTCATTTAAAGGAATAAAAAAATTTTACTCCAAATGTAAGAGTGCAAGCTGAGTAGAGTTGAGTTGCACCTCATAGTTTATTTTTGGTTTTTTTTTTAACGTTAAAAAAGGAAGTTCTGTAGGAATATCATACCACCTGTGGACCTCAACTCAAAGTAATTGATTGTTGGTCAGATTTAACCCAACTTAAAGAAAGAGATTCATCACTAAGGTAAGAGAGGAATGTACCAACTCCCAGTATAAGAGGTGAAATCACGAACATAATGCAATGTAGTCAAATTCAACCGTTTGAAAAAAGGGTTGTTAATCGCACCTCAGACATCATGCCCTACTCACCTATGTAGAAAGAAGGCATATTTTCACTCCACCACTACCCCGGTGGTAGTTGCCCTCGTAGTTGAAAAGGAATTTATTGATAAGTTGGATTATGACAATTTGATTAGCTATTTTGCACGTAAAAATGCGAGGAAGGTGATGTTTAAATGATATTTTGTTATAGGTTGTTCATTTTTTATTTGGTTGAGCTTGAATTATTTTGATTTTTTTTTTATCATACACTTTGGAGGGTTTTAGTTTAAAATCACTGATATTAAAATTTTATAAGATAAAGGAAAGGACATGCAACATTTTTATTGTAGGTAGAATCTCTCAACATTTTCATAGAAAAATTTATCTTCAAAGAGAAATTTCACAGAGAATATTTTTTATGATGAGTTAAAATTTCTCTAACAATATTATTGAGAGACCTTCACTTATAAGAAAAAACATATTGGACCTCTCCAACTATCCAAAGTTGGAGAGTGATATTTTACTAATTTTTTTATAAACTTTGTTATATTATTTAGGTACATTTTAATAATTATATATGTAAGTAATGTTTTCATAAGCATGATCAAATAAAAAAAAAAAATTAAACACATAATCTTTTGATCACATTTTTTTTTAATGTATTAAAGATGCCATGTTGTTGTTTAAAATTTATTTATTTAATATATTTTTTGATTTTTTATAAAAAAAAAAATAAGTCAAAAAGTAGAGAGGTGTATAATTATTTAAATCAACCCCAAACAACCAATAAGACTTTGCTCTAGGCCTAAAAACTCTCAGAATCGGGCCTGGTCCCTCATATTTTCTTAATATTTTTGGGTCTTATACCTTGAATTGTAATATATCTGTTTATTTTATAAGAAAAATGCTAACCAGAATAAGTGAAAGGTTTTTTTTTTTTTTAAGTGATATGAAATTAATTACAAAATATAAAAAGTATTATATGAAATTGGACCATTAAAATCTAAACAATTGCTAAGAAACTAGCAGTCAACAAACTCAAATTTGAAAAAAAAGAAGAAAAAAAGAAACACATACAATGGTATAATGGGAGAGAAATAAATATCAAATTCCTCCCTGTAAAATGGTGCTAAATAATCACTTGACCAAAAGTCTTGGTTTGATGGTTAATTTTAACCGGTGATTAATGTTGAAGTATATATATACGTACATAATCTATCTATACTGTGGATTATAACAAAATGACATTTTAATAAGGATTTTTGCGAATGATTAATTTTTTACATTCAAAGACACATTCTTTTATTTCCGAAGTTACCAATTTTTGAATTATTTTAACTTAGGCATTAGAATGTGTTTACTATTTTATTTTTGCATACATTATGCGTAATACATGTAATTTTAGTACTATACATAGCACTAGGTAAGCATCCCTCCCACTTGTCAAAATTGAGTGGGCCCAAACCAAGTTACTATAGAATGGGAACGGTTTTAATGATCCGAATGGATGGATGCCAATATATTTTTTTTTTAAATCCACCTAAATTCAGACAAATGGCGGATAGAAAGCCACCCAATCCAACCCGATCTATAAGCACCCATCATTTGGAAGAGATGTAGTTATAAATTTTTACTCAAGAAAATGAATGACAATGGATCGACAATTGTGTCTTTTTATTTTATTTTAAAACATGATAATTTGTTTGTTATTTATAAATTTGTTAGCATTCTAGAAAATGATGCTATATTTTATGCTTTATATATTTGAAAAATGATTTTTTATTTATAAAATATGAAAGTTAAGCTTTTATTTTTATTATAAAAAATAAAAAAATAAAAAAAAAATTGTTTCCACCCGTTTTTGTCAAATTCATGTCGACAGGTAGATCAGTTAGATGGTGACTAGGAATGGCAATGGGGGGCAATGGGGTGGATATTAATTCCCCATCCCCATTCCCCTATAATAAATTTTCTCCATTCCCCATTCCCCATTCTCCATGGGTACCACCCTCCCCATTTTTTAATGGGTATGGATTTTCCCCAACACACTTTAATCCCCATTTTTTATTTTTTATATTTAATGTTAACAACCACTTTTTTTTTTTTAAGGTTCACAACAAAAACTAAATATACCTTCAATCTTTTTTCTTTCTTTTTTAATATATTTAATGTTAACAACTTATTTTTTTATTTATTTTTTTATTTTTTTAAGGTTCACAACAAAAGCTAAATACACATTCAATCTTATTTTATTTTATTTGGTTCAACAACAAAATCAAATACACATTAATTAATTAATTAAAAAGTTTGTTTTATAATAATCAAATATATAATTTTGAGACAATCAAAAAGTTTATTTGAAGAAAGTGTTATAAGACTCATATTAAATTGCATCAGGGCATAAACAAGGAATTGTTAGCCACGGACAATTTAGACATTAAACCATCTTTCTCTTAGCAAATTTGAACAATTCATTTTAATTTATCCAAAATCTAATTTCACAACACCATCACCACTATTCTCACTTTCACTGTCACACTACCATCACCATAGCCACTACCATCATCACTGCCGCCATCACCCCACCACTATGTAACAATTTCTACTTTCACCTTCGTTCCATCACCACCACCACCAAATATAAAAAAATATATTTTGAATTTTTTTTATAAAAAATATTTTTCATTAAAAAATATTTTCTATCTAAATAAATGAAGCATAACATTGGGAAACAAGCTGATTTCAGTTAAATCTGTTCATAACTAAGAAAAATTCTTTTAATTTAAAAAAAAATTATTTAGTATGACTTTGTATCCCCTTTTTGTTTTTCTAGCAAATAAATCTATGTACCCATCATTTCTAACCAATCACAACTCATGCTTGTTTTGATTCTCTACAATTTCCTTATTTTCAAATACATACATATATATATATATATATATATTGTATAAATTATGTGATAACATAAAACAAATAGATTCATACTCGTTAATTGAAATTTCAGAACAAGCAAACCATTCTGAAAATTACAATACACAACAAAATAAAATAACATAGAAAAGCAAACCGAAACCTACACTAGACAATGTCCTTAATTTTTTTTAAATAAATTTAAAAAATTCTAAATATGCATAAAATTTGACAAGAATAATATGACAATGTTAATATAAAATACTCAACAAATCTAATAAAATGAACGGTTCGGATCATAAATATAAACTCATAATGTATCTCAAATTAAACTATAACAGTCACTACTGTCCCTTTAATACAGCAGTGTCCCTTAATCATGGAATGGTGACTTCTTTTTTTCTTTTCTATTTTTATTTTCGTCCCACCACTATCAAAACAGGATAGTGCAAGTGAGTAGCGTGCGGTGATTTTTATTGGTATGGAATGGCGACATGTGGGGAAGAAAGGAAAGAAAACTTAGGACTAAAAGGGAAGGGACAGGGACTCCGATGAAAAAAAAGAAAGAATTACAGAGATAGAGAATTTTGACTTATTTTTGTTTTTAATGATTTTTTTTTTTGATATAAAATTGCTACATTTGTAAAATTTTCAACGTCGTCTACTCTGAGGTAAATCTAAAAAGTAATTTGTTTTGATAAAAAAAAAAAAAAAGAAAAAAGATTTAATTTATATTTAGTTTTGGTTGTGAATCAAAAAAAAAAAAAAAAAAAAAAAAAACATATGGGAAAATTAGTGGGTACCCATCCCAAACCCATCCCCTGTGGATATTTAAAGAATATTACCTACCCTACCCAATGAATAAGAAAAAGAGGGGAAAACCCATGTATTTGAGTTGGATCTCCATGGATACTTACAGGGTAGGTTATCCATTGTCATCCCTAATGGTGACATATTGCAAGGTCAAAATAGAAGTATTTCATTAATCAAAGGGACATGTGGCATTAGATGAGTTAATCACGTGCATTGAATGGCCAGATGGTGGAGTAGTTATCAAGCTAAGTCATGGACTTAGTGGGTTGCTTGCAGAAAGGATTAGGTACAAAATGAAGACTTGGCTCTATCGATAAGAGGCCAAAAGGGTTGAGCGACACGTGGCAACATGGAGGAAAGACAGCTCAACAGGTAAAGGTAAAGATTTAATGAAGTTTGAAAGCTTAGAATCAAGGAACAGTTGCAGTAGTTAAGTAGTGGTAGTTTCAAGACCTAGGGAAATCATGTGATCATGGACTAGGAAAAGTGAGAGAATATAAAGGCCATAAATTTACAAAGAGATGATCATCAACAAGGCAACAACACTGGGTTAAGTTTAGCTAACCTAAAAAAGTGTATTTATTTTATTTTTTTATTTTTTTTAAGTCACATCAATTAATTTTTTTTTTTATTTTTTTTACACATAATATAAAAAAGTCAAAAAGTGTACTTATTTAATCTTCTCAAACTTGGCCTTAGTTTGAATCTAGGAATAGTTTTCTCTTAATTTAGGAGTAGTTTATTCTGTAACTTGTACTTGGTAACTTTGTAGGCTTTGGTAGTTTTATTTTGAAATTACTCTTTGTTTACTTTGTTTACTTTTCTTTTCAATTGTTAATTGTTTCAAAGATGTCATGACCCAAATCTTTATAATTTTTAAAGTATTATTACATGCCTATATTTCACATCAATTATAATTTATTATACTCTATATAATTTTTAATCATTCAACATGTAGTGATCTCCAATACTAACCAATAACGTATCCACCACAAACATTGTGAAATTAATAAAGAAAAATGAATCAGACCCCCTTTGTGGAGGACCCCTCACAACTCCCTTACTGATCTACATCATTCATGATGTATGGGGTCCACTTATATATGTGTGGGGTCCATATCATAAATGGTATCATTCATGATGTATGAGACCCACTTATATATGTGTGGAATCCATATCATAAATAGTGTGGATCACAAAAGGAGTTGTGGAGTCCTCCACAAAAGGAGTCTCTATCATTGCTGATTAATAAATTGTAGTAATGGCAATCAAACATTGACCAACATATCCTCCATCAGCCTTCCGATCATGTTGAATGAAGATCCACCCTCCACCAACGCCTTCTTGCTCTTCTCTCCAATCTCTTTCACCTTCTCCCTCACATCACTGTCACTTACCATCACACACCTCACTGCTCTTTCTATCTCATCGCCCATCACAAGGTCACAACCGTCACCTCCAAATACACCGTCGCGATAGTCCAACCTCATCTCTACCGCCACGCCCAACTCCCTCACCATCGCGAACGCGTTGAGCTGTTGTTCAGCGTACATTGGCCACGTCACCAAAGGCACACCGTTCCACAAGCTCTCTATGATCGAGTTCCATCCGCAGTGCGATACGAACCCTCCGATCGCTTTGTGGGCCAGTACCTCCGCCTGTGGGGCCCACCCACACACCATCCCCTTTCCTCTGGTCCGTTCGATGAACCCATCTGGCAACATCTCCTCCTCCGGATTCTCAGCCTTTCCTTGTGTTGTTGTCTTTGGTGGTAGACGAATGGACCACAAGAACCCATGCCCGCTGCGCTCCAGCGCTTGAGCTATCTCTCTGAGTTGGGGTGCACCGAATGTCCCCATGCTCCCGAAGCACAGGAACACCACCGACGATGGATCTTGATCATCAAGCCATTTCATTATGTTGTTGTTCTTACTGTGGGACCCTGGGGAACCTAGCTTGTTCTGGGCCTCACCCATCGCATCAATCACCGGTCCGACGGTGTAGATTGGAGGGGTTTGATCATCGCAAAATGAGCTAATAGCATGGGATTCCAACTCCAGTAATGTATTTACAATAATGCCCTTGGTGTCCCTAAACCTTTTTGCAAGCTTGAGATAAGCAGCGTAGCCACCATCCTTGTTGAACACTGCGGAGGGCAAAACTCGTGGAGGAACTGGGTTGATAAAACCCGGAATCAAAAACTCAGGATCCGATTCGCTGAACTCGGTGCAGACCCGGTCGTGGCGAGTTGGGATGTATAGCATGAGGCCAAGAAACGCAGCACCGGTGGTCAAGAAAAGATAAGAAGGAAGACCGAGTTCGTTGCCAACGTCAATCATGGAAACGCAAAAGAAGTCGAGGACTAACCCAACGAGCCGGGGCGAGTTAGGGTGAGAGTGAGTCGACCCGATGAGGTTACCGAGGACGTGTTTGATGTGGGGTTTGAAACTTTCTATGTAAAGAGTGAAATAGTTTGTATGGGATTTGGCGAGTTCAGGCAAGTTGGGTGGATGGAGTTGAGGGAGGTCAATGAGTTGGATGAGTGGGTAGGAGGCGGAGAGTGAATTGGTGTAGGAGTCAATGTTTGGGAAGGTGGAGGGTTTGATGACAAGGATGGTGATGGAGAATCGATTATCTCGATCGATAAGGCGCTTCGCGAACTCTACAATTGAGACAAGGTGACCGATCCCTGGAGATGGGATGAACACAAGCTCTGCTTTCTTCATCTCAGATTTAGATCTCTTTTGACTTTCTTCTTTTCTTCCGTCCATGCTCTTTGGCTCATGATCACATTGTTATATAAATAAAATAAAAAATATATATAGAATTGTTTTTTCTTTTGGTTAAGTAATGTATAATTCTTATATCTAGTGGTAGTTTGATTTTAGTCGCTGATCTTATATAAAAGGGTTAATTTTTTTCTGAAATTTCTTACCCTTTTTCTCTTAAAAGTTTTAACATTACACCATCCTCTCTCTTATAAAAAGTATGTAGATTCCTCCAGTTTAGATTGAAGGGTGTTGTTCGAGTATGTAAGATTCACTATGAGTTCCATTTCTATAATTCGAATTTTTTTTTTTGTCAATGGATTGGTTACTTGAGCAGAGAGTTCTCACAGACGGTGTTAAATGAAGCAACTAACCCTCCCCGATTAGTATGATATTGTCTGCTTTGGAGTTAGGTCATTTCAGCTAACTAACCCTTCACGGCTTTAAAAGGTCTCATACTAATCTAAGGGAGTTAGTCTACTTATGTAATGGAACTGTGATCTCTCACAGAGCGATGTGGGATGCATAGAGTTTGCCGAGCACACCAATAGTATACAAAGAGCGTTTGGGTCATAATGAAAATAATTTCATAAGTCATAATTGACGCCACAATAGGTTATAACCAATGACTACAAAAGTCGTTACCAGAGATGCATATGATAGAATTTTCCTAAATAATAAGGTTATCGTATAACGATTTCAAAAAATGAAAACTTGTTGTGAGCAATTGTGTACGTGCAGATTTGCTTCATTTTTTGTTGAAGTATTAATATCTCAACTTTGGTTTTGTATATAATTTAACAAGTTTGAATTAGTTTTGTCAATGTAATAGAAAATATATAAAATTATAGTGTAAAAATACATAATGATATTGATGATACTTGTTAAATGACTCTACTAAACTAAAATCCTAACTTCGCCACTATTGATAAAATGAATGGTTTGAATCATCAAAATGGAACCCATAGCAGATCTAACAAACCCAAACAACACCGTCCAATTCAAATAATGCTCTAAATGCACCCAAAAAATTAGGTTGTACACCCCATTACTTTGAACACTGCAATTGAAAATTTAAATATTTATTTGTTTTTTTGAGCATCCCAAATAATACATATTATGCCCCTAAAAATCCTAAAAACTCTAGAAATATACTAACAACCTACTTTCTACATCCCATTAGTCTAATAGTTACAACACAGGCACAAACTCATTTTCCATGGCAAAGACAACCCATCATCTCCAACACCCTCGTCGCCAACCCAACATCTCCAACCCCTCTTCGTCTCCAACCCTTATCGTTTTAGGGTATTTTGGCATTCTATTAATTTGGGGCTTTTCGATTTTGATTCTTCGGAAAAAAAGAAAAAAAAGGAGTTCTACAGTTTTCTTTGAATACTCAGTGTTGAATAAATGAAATCCATGTGGATACTCAAATCCGAACAATAGAAAATTAATTCCAGCTTTTTCATCCGCATACACAGTTCCGAACAACAAAACTTGGTTCCAGCTATTTTATCCAGATACTCAATGTTGAACAAATTAAATATGTCCAGATACTTAATTTCGAAATTATGAAATTACTTCGAATACTTGGTGTTGAACAAATGAAACATGTATGGATATTCAGGTCAGAACAATAGAAAATTAAAACATATGTTATATCAGATATAATACCATATAGTTCTTTTTGTTCAAAACAAGAATATGAAGAAGTTAAAAAATTAAATGTTGGAAATATAAAGTCAAACATAAACAATTGTTCAGATATTAAATACTACCATTATTTCAGAAACACACTGCCGAATATATGAATTTTATTTAGAAACAAGTTTAAGAATAAATGTAATTTGTTTGGTATTGTGTTTCCGAATAAATTCCATAAATTCAAGAGTTGAAAACAATGAACATAAATAGGAAACTTAACTTCGTTATAATGGGAATTTTAATTTTTTTAAATTTTTTTTTTTTTTTTTTTTTTGAAAAAAGAAAAATATTCTTAGAAATGTTTTCTTCATTATACAGTATTAAATAGAATGCAAGAATCATGGATTCAAGCAAAATAGGATTGAGTAGATGCAAAGAGAAGTCAATAAGAAAAGAATAAGAGAGTGAAGAGAATATTAAGTTTGATTATGAATGAGGTGTTCAAAACACTTTGATTTGTATTTTTTTCAATATTAAACACTTTTTTTTATCATTTTAAATGGAGACATAATAATAATAATAATAATAATAATAATAATAATAATAATAATAATAATAAGGGTAAATTACAATAAACCCCCTGAACTATGATGGTGCTGCACTTTGCCCCTAAAGTTTAAAACTCAACACTTTACCTCCTTGATGTTACATCTTGTGACACTTGACTAATTCCGTTAGTAAACCGTTAGAAACTTGGATGGAAATTGTGACACCTCAATTGTATAATTAATTTAATAAAAATAATAAATAAATAAAATAAATATTCAATTTTATAGTTATATGTGCTAAAATATAAATTAGGGGCATTATTATTACCAAAACATAACAATGTGATTAATATATTTTTGGGGCCAAACCAAACTGTAGCTGGTTTTTCGTGCTCCTCGAAACTAAAAGAACACAACTGAGTCCAGATCCGTCAAATCTTTTAGAAAAGCCATTTAGCATCGGAGATGCTGAAAATGGACTGCATTGTCAGATTTTAGAGTCGCCATCTAAATATTTTTTAAAAATTTAGGAAACCCATGACTCTTGCCAAAGACCACTTGTCTGTCATAACCAAAGTTGTCTTGGTTTGGGAACTTATGTATGAGAGGGGAAGGTCATGGATTGAGCACCCCACTCACCCGATCAAAGATCGACTTCTACTAATCATGATGTGATTTTTTTGTACAGTATATGCTCATGCTCTGATTATTAATACTAACTTACTATGTGAGGCACACAAGTATAGACTATTTCGCCTATTTTGGAATGCTTTGATTTCATATTTGTTTTGAAAGAGTTTGAATATATGCTACTTGAAAAGGTAAGCTCACATGTACATGTATCATATCATTCCAATTTAAGCGAAAAAACCTTCATCTACCGGCATTCAACAGATAAATCAACTAAGCACTTAACCTCATGGTAAACATGCTTGATATGGTAACACAAACATACATGCAATATGCTAAAGCAAAAACGCTCACCTAGTACTCTACCAAGGCAAGCCAAAATAGAAGAAAATAGTTAGAAAAATGCATGCACTAATATGCAAATGATTAATGCAACACGTACAAAATGCAACTACGCAGTTCGGTTTATTAACATGATATATGGCTCAACTCAAAGTATGCGACAACGCATGTATTCAAGTAATTAGGAAATTACATTAATGTTAGAATGATGAACTAAACCCCATGTATGCAAAAATGGGTATTTTACGCACAGTAATGATATGAAATCAAAACATGAATGCAACCATCGTAAGCAAGTAAATAAAAGAGAGAAAGAAATGGGGTTGGAAGATATACACAATATTACAAGTTTTTACAATTTGCCCTCACATAAGAGGATTCAAATGAATGTCTTACTTAACTACTTATTATAACACAAAATGAATAAACTAAATTGACTAATTATTAAAAATCTGAATTAAGCTAACTAATTAATTACAACACACTAATATTAAAGAAATAAATTAATGGAACGAGGAAGCGATGAGCCATGAGTGCACAACCAAGAACATCCTCCCGAAAACCTCTCTGTTTTGCTGCCAGAATCTATTATGTTTGCAGTCAAAAAATTATTCTGTTGTTGCATCAGCTTCTGCTCTGTCCTGCTACAAAAATACCATTACTTGCATAAAATGCGTGGCTGGCCTTCCTTGAAAAATGGTCTGCCGGATGGAAGGGTGGCCGACCGACCATTGTTTTTAAGTATTGCCCTATTCCCACAGAATTGAAACAGAGCAAAAACAGAGTGTTTCTAGGAGATGCTCATCCTCTTTGCCTCTTCCTATCATGAAACCGATCAATGTAGGAGTAGACTCGATTCACAAACCATCAATTGTCGCAAAGTTATTACATGATGGTCTATGAACCGATAGAACAAAGCTCAATAAATGGAAATGAAAGACCAACAAAACCTCCTCCCTATCATGGAGTTACCTCAAGGGAAATGGTTGACATTGTTTCTTGAACCATTAATCATCACTAAAAAGCATAATGATTCAAGACTCAACAGGTTCAACATAACGTCCGATTGAACCCAACTCAATTTTAGTACTCTTTTAACCTCTTTTGGTCCAATTTTTACCTCTTTTACATTACATTGCCATTCTTTATTCATTTTTGTCCAAAAGTGATAGCTACGTCCAGTAAGTGCAAAGCGATAAAGAGAAGTGTCAAACAAAATGTTGTGCTTAATATGAGAGAGATGTAATGCATTGTTAATGAACCTCTAAAGAGATTAAACCATTAAGCATGGAAAGTCTCTTTCTCATACTATGAACAACAACCAAGTGTTTAAGACAACTCTTAATCAAAGGAAAAAAGAAAAGAGAGAGGTTGCAGATATGATTAGACAAAGAAGATTATTACAAATGTGAGCATATGTATGAAAGTTATGCAAAGAAAGCTATCAACTCAAATAGATTGTTGTCTATAGCCTAAACCACCAAATCTATGAGGACTTACAACAACAAAAGCATAATATTCAAAGCATAAATGAAATAAACATATTAAACAACCCCAAAAACAAGAAAAAATAGTGCTAAAAATAGTTTGAAAAGTTAGAAAAAGTAAGTAAAAATTAAATAGAACAAAGCTAGTAAGCAAGCCTAATGAAGGATGGCTAACTCCTTCACTCTTTGGACTTTAAAATCACATGTTTTAGCCTCTGAAAATCAGTAGCTAAAAGTTGAGAAACAAGTGGGAAACACAAGGATAAAAGCTATGGAATAAGATTCAAGAAATGGTGGTTAACCCCTCCACCTTTGATAGCTTTTAAATCACAAGTTTCAACCCACAAAAATAGTCCAAAATAGAGTATAATTACCAAGAAAAAAGGGTGAGAAGAATAGGCAAAAGATGGCAAGAGTTATATCTTTGAAGAGATGACACTCTTTTGTTCACAGACCACAAAGTATTCACTCTCAAGGGCTGAAATTTTGGCTTAATAATCTC